ATATATATATATATATATATATATATATATATATACCAGTATGGGTTATAAATTTAAAATTAAATTTTATGTCAATGTATTATGTAATTGTTCATTTTTCCGGACATACTGTGTATAATATCTAATAAATAATGTTTTTGCAATGCATTCAGTGGCACTTAAAAAAAAAAAATTAGTGGACCTAGCCGCTGTACCACCCACCCCAACCTTTCTGGCCCGTAGCCAGGGGTTGCTTGGGGTTCCACCGAACCCCCTTTAACAAGGGGAATGCTCCTACGAGTTCTGGGAGAATTGGGACCCCTACTTAGCCTGACAGTATTTTATTCAGGAAAGGTAATTGAAGATTGCTAGCCACCCTATTCAACTTTTAGGTCCACCATTGGATATTTAACAAGATTATTAAATGATTGAAGGCTCACTAATTCCTAATTGACATTTCTGACAAAATTTAATCATACTGTATATTTTTTTAATGGTAGTAAGTTGAGGGATTGAAGAACTCTACATCCCCTGGTGATAGTTTAAATCAAGTTGCATTGCTTTCTCTGGCATTCATAAATTGCATACCTTCAGTTAAAGCTTCCACAGCGTGTTGGAGTTTAAGGGTGTTCAGATTTTCAATGAAGGCATCCATTTTTCTTTCACAAATCACCCCTTTCTGCTCTAGATCCATAATCAAACTCCACGTGTCTGCATATTCCTTTACCGGTTCTTTATACAATCCACTGATCTTTTTTAAATCTTCATCAATCAGTACCATTCCAAGCTTCATAACTTTTTGTCTGTGATACGTGATTTCTGTGATTTCTACATCGCTAACATTTTGAAATTCTGGCAGTATTTCTTTGATCCTTCTTTCCAAGCCATATTGCTCTGTTATGTTTATGGTATCATATAGAAGATTGAAATATGTTGAGTCTAGATGTCCAGAAGCAATCAACAAATTCATTAGGTTCATCACATTGGCAGCCCTATTCAACTCATAATTGTCTTTCAAGAGATCTCTGTACAAAACTTTCAGCATATTGATGTATCCACGCTGGTCATACCATTCTGAAATAACTGACAACAGCTGTTTGAAGGAATCATCAGTAGTTCCTATAAAATTATCAAATAGAGATTCTTCATAACTGATGTAGTTGGTTCATTACAAAATAACTTTTATTCACAGTAAATTGAAAGTTATTTAAAAGAAAATTTCTTTCATACCATATTTATTTCATCTAATAAAACAAGATAAACATTTAAATCCAATGGCGTTAATTAATTTTTCATATTTTCTCACCTTTTCCTTTCAGTTTACAGAGCACCTCTTTGTATTTATTTTCATCGATGGATGTCATCCATTCATCTATGAACTCCTGTTGATGTTCCTCTGGGACTAATATTTGTGCCAAATCTTTGATGAGCTTTCCGCTAGAATGTATTTTCCATAGACTCATCAAAGCATTAGGATCATTTGTTGATAGATAAAATACTATTGATCCATTCCCAACGTTGGTTAATTTTAGACCCCAACGTTTGTAATAGATAATAAGTTTCTCAAACTTTTTTAAGAATTCTGGTGTATCCTTTAAGGTTAAGGAGTCTTTATGTTCATCAAGGTCATCTAACAAATCAAGAGCATACTTTTTAGAATCGGAAGATTCTCCTCTGCGTTTCTGAATTACTTTTACAGCAATTTCTTAAAATAAAAGATAAAATGATATATATTAAATAAATAATTATTAAACAATCTAGCATATAATTTATTACATCTAGCATAGATTATTACACCTTAAAGCATAGCCACTGCAATGAATGGAAGATTTACTGTCCATCTCATAAAGCAATTTAATAATATAATAATATCTATTTCTTGAGTCAACACCCAATGAAACCTCATCTTGGTTGGGGTTGAGGTGCAAAAAATTAAGGAAATAGTAGGCCTCCATCTAGATGGCCAGAGATGACACACTTAAATAGTAAAATTCATCAGTATGACTCATTATACTAAAAATGAAGAGGGTACACATTTCTCAAGATCTTTTATTAGCAATTTTTGGCAATCATAGAGATCTATAATAATCTCTGTGATCACTGTGTAATACTGTACCATAGAAAAATAAAACTTTAACAGTCTTTAATGTATTTTATTTAAAGTAGTCAAAGCAAAAAAAAGCTATATCACAATAAGGGCCAAATTTGTTCATTGAATAAATTTCAAGGGCAAGGGCAAGAAGAGGGTTTGGGAGGGGATGTTCCCTTCCCAAATTAGAAATTTAAAAAAAATATTAAACCACTAGATGCTCATATGGGGCATCTTGACATAAACCTAAGAATTTACTCTGTGTTTGCTGTAATCAAAAAGTCAAAATGTTATATATATATACAATATCTCTTTGCTGCAATAGTTCTTCGGATTTGATTGATTATATTTGCTACAATTTGTAGGGTGGTATATAGGCCTATTCAGCAAAACAGAATGCGATAATAATATTATTTTCCTCGCAGGCCGCATATTACAGGCTTTAGCGGGCCGGAGATGGCCCACGGGCCGCCAGTTGAGAACCCCTGCCCTAGATCTATCCAAAAATGGAATTCTGCCACCTTGCACTGAAACTGCAATAAATGTAGTCAATTTCAAAACATTAATGAATAACTTGAAATAACCGCTGATGCATGATGGACTGTATGTATATAGCCACACCAGATAACAATATTAATTTGATATAAAAACAGCAATTAACTTGAATACCTTCTGTTAAAGCTTCCACAGCATCTTGGAGTTTAAGGGAATATAGTTCTTCAATGAAGGCTTCCATTTTTCCTTCACAAATTACCCTGTTGCGCTCCAGATCCATAATCAAACTCCATGTGTCTGCATATTCCTTTACTGGATTGTTATATAATGCACTGATCTTATTTACATCTTCACCAATCAGTACCATTCCAAGTTTCATAACTTTTTGTCTGTGATGTGTGAATTTTGAGATTTTTACACCTTCAACATTTTGAAATACTGGCAGTATCTCTTTGATCCCTTTTTGCTCTGTTATGTTTATGGTATCATAGAGAACATTGAGATTAGCTGAGTGAAGATGTCCAGAAGCAGTTAACATATCCATTAATTCCATCACCTTTGTAGCCTTATTCAACTCATAATTGTTTTTCAAAAGATCTCTGTACAATACTTTCAGCATATTTGTGTATTCACGTTGATCATACCATTTTGAAATATCTGACAACAGCTTTCTGAAAGCATCATCAGTGATTTCTATGAAATTAACAAAATAGAGATATCATAACTGATGTAGTTGGTTCATTACATATTAATACCCTTTATAGTAAATTAATAATTATTTCAAAGAAATTTCTTTCTTTCCATTATTGAATTTGATCTAATAACCAATTAAACAGTAATTAGAAAAATGGATGGGGCTAGTGGCATATCTAGAAGTCTAGAAATGGGGGTGCAGATTGGGGGACGTGAAGGTGAAGTGTGGGGCATGATTATCAGTGGAGGGTCGCAAATTCGCAAAATAAGGTAATTTTAGGTGATTTTTAACTACTTGACCATGATTTTTCGAATGGGTGGAAACTGGGGGTGCGCGAGTAACTTTTTTGGGGGGACGTGCACCCCTGCGCACACCCTAGATACCCCACTGGGTAGGGCCAACCAAAAAATAAATTGAATTAATCATGAGAGAAAAAAACTAACACAAACATAGAATCAAGATGATCTCTAGAACTGCAACTAACTAACAGTCTAGAAAGCCTGTCCCAAAACTAGTGGTCAGTTGCATAGAATTTAAATGGTAAGGGCAATATGCTGCAGTCTAAATATAAAAGAGCCTGCCAACCAAAAATAACAAAACATTTATATATCCTTTCACAGACAATGACAATAATTTTAATTTCTCCTCAAAATGCAAATCATCTTTCTTTTAGTCTTAACCCATCTTCCAGGCATCCCAAACAGAAACTATGGAAGAAGTTGAGGGATCTTGGATTTTGAACTCAAAACACCCCCTTGTCAACATTTTGTAAAAACTGATTCAACTTACTGGTAGCCATCTTGACATAAAATCCTGTGAATTTTAAATAATTAAAATGATTATTTAATACTTTTTAATGGATAAATAATCATAATAATGTAATTATTAATTATTGTTCATTATGCTTTTATGACAGATAAAAAGGTAGTAAATATACAAATAATGATTTTTATTTAGCATGCTCTATGAGCCAGGGGTTAGATATACTAAGTATCAAACTTTTTTAGAATAAAAATCTATGAGTCCATTTTTAATAAATGAGCTGTTTTTTGCAGATCTATATAAAACCCTGCATTGTCTGAATATTCCCCCCACCCCCCCAGCTGTAAAGTTTACATACATTTTTTTTAAATTTCCTTTCACAAATTTCAGATTTAGTATTTAAAATTATCCCTGTGGCAATGCAGATATTTCAATCGTATTTGTTTAGGCTATAATAGTGGAGCTAATTTATTGGTCATTTCAGTTGTACAGTAGTCTATTGGCAAGCTGTTAGCATATATATGCACAGTAAGCATTTGCCTCCTAAAATATACTGTAGCTCATTGTCTCTTGAGGCAATGATGTTGTACTCAGATCAATAATATTTTGATTCAGTATTTTCAATGTCTAAATCATTATGCACATTAGTTCTATTATATTAAACAACATCAATTCATGAAAAATTTACCTTAAATTCTTGGGTTTTTTCAGTGATGTACATGTGTGAATTGTCTCCAATCAGGAAATGGGTATTGATGGTTTACTGTGTCGTTCTTATTGTAACCTGGTATAGACTACTTTCTTTGCGTTGGTATGGTAACTCTTTGTGTTACAACCACTGTGTGCTGTCAACCATGACTTTAAACAGAGAGAGAGAGAACAATTCAATAGTACGTATATTGTTATGTATTGATTACATAATTTATTACAAACAGCACTCAGTCATTGTAATCTCTGAATACCAATCCAAATTTTTTGCACTAGAATGTAGAAGCTCTCAATATCTCAATTCAACTAACAAAAAAAACCCCATTGAAAATAAGTCTTCTGGACTACCTTTGCTGGGTTATTATTATTTGGATTATGTTTTTGACACCGAAAGAAAATTAATCTACCAAATCCTTTTGATGCTTTATTCTTTTTCCCTCTCTCTTCATACCTTCTCTACTATTATGTGTTCTATTCTCCTCCTTTTTTATCTACTTTTTCTCCTCCTTTCAAATTCCTTCCCCTTCATTTATCTATTGATCTCTTTTTTTCCATTCCTGTTTTTAAGCTGGTCAAAATTAGTATTTAAAAACAGGACAGTATTTCCACATTTTTTTAGATACAAAAAAAAATCACATAAAGAAAAAGAAGAATTTTTGTTGGAATTACAAAAGAGAAAATGAATCAATAAATAGAAGATTTTGAATAAATTAAAGGCCTAATTCCATCATAAATTACACTAGATTTGAACTCGTCACTGAGAACGAGTTAGGTGATCCGCTGCACCTCAACCCGCGAGCTGCACTTCAACCCGCGAGGAAGTGTGCGCGGTGCTGGTTGAACAATATTTAAATGCTGAAAATGGCTTAAATATACGCTAAATCAATTTTTTTGAAAAAGAATTTGGACCATTTTAAAAGATTTACTCACGCGTATGTTCACGTCATGACGCACATGCACATGTTTATGTCACAGAATGTTGTCTCCTGATATGAGATAAGAATGGTAAGAATGACCCTGGTAAAAATGGCCCCAAATGACAGGAAGGAAAAATGGGCCCAACGTTAAAATTACGTAATAAAAATGATTTTATTTTAAATCTTCAAATATTTAAATACTGTATAATTTTAAATCTTCAAATATTTAAATACTGTATAATAGCAAGAATTAAATCCATAAATAAACTAGATTTTAAATCGTCACTGAGGACGAGTTAGGTGATCCGTCGCACTTTGACCCATGAGGAAGTGTGCGCGGTGCAGATTGAATAAAATTTAAATGCTGGATAATGGCAAAATACGCTAATTTAGTTTGTTAAAAAAGAATTTGGAGCATTTTAAAAGATTTACTCATACGTACCCGCACGTCATGACGCACGTGCGCATCTTAATGTCACTGTTGTCTCCTGATATGAGATATATATGTATCAACTTTCATTGACAAACGCTTATTAGTGAGGGAGTAATTATCATTCATAATATTTATCATATATAAAAATTAAGTTTTTTGATTTCAGATGGCAATATGATGACGTCACAATGTCTGATCAGCTATTATGATATATAAAATTCTATCTACAGCTCATGCGCTTTCAGAATATGTAATAAAAATTGGGGGTCACTTTTCATCCTAAGGAGCTATAACTGATTAAAAAAAGGCATGATATAAAACATATTTTAATTTTGACGTACACGTACGCGCGCGTTATGACGCGCGTACAGGAAATTATAGTACATAACATTTAACCATGACCTGAAGTTCGTGCCAATTAAATATGATTCAGAAATCTCGACTGATTAAGGGGATTATGGGGTCATGGTGGTTGCTAAGAGTTTTGGCATGCCAGGTATGTACCATTCCATGTGTTCCCCAAAATGCACAAAAATGTATTTGATTTAAAAAATTGAAGAATGTCATGTCAAATAATTTAAGTCTGAGAATGAAAAATCCTGGGCAAGTGTTGTTATATCATTGATTTTTTCTTGTCGCAGTCCCAACCATGGTGGGGCCGAGGTGGTGGTATGTATTTGCCGTTCATCCTATTTAAAACTGAACATCAGCAATACTTTTAATTAAAACTAAAGTTCAGCTTCAACTGTTATAAGACTGATGTGGGTGTGGCCCTTCTAGTACTTGGCCCCTAGCTACTGGGGTGGATATGAGCCTGTTGCAAATGCACTTCCCTTGGATTCACTTTCATAACTCTCCTTGTGCAAATGACAAAGATGGCGGTGGAATTGCTGTTGGATTTCGACTTGTGCTTATCTTATATAATCTAGCAACATTTTCAAAATTTGAGGAATATATTAATATGCTGGGACTTCCTCAATGGTACTATACTCATATCTTATACACATCTAGATGTGTATAAGAGACAGCTTTTCATACACATTATCTTCCCAACCATTTGCTGGAGTTAACACATTAAGACATGTTGGTATCTTAGCATCTTTTGATATCCTCACAGGAATAAGTTTCCCCTCATCGATATTATTGTTCTGCAACATTTCTTGAACAACTGTTTGTGCCAGATAATTTGGACTGCCAGTTGATGATGATGCGGTAAACCCAACCACCACTATTTTGCAAAAACTCACTGGTTCAACCAAATTCTCAAGTTGGTATCTTCCAGGAATCCAATCATTTCTGCTAATACACTGTATGCCTGGTCTCTTTTTCTGCAACTCAAGTATTGTTGTATTCTCCCACTCAGCATTATCACTTATTATATAAATGTCTGCATTGAAGAAAATAAATTTAAGAAATTTTCTTTTATACCAATTTATTTCAGTATGCAACCAAAAGCAAAGGTTTACCATATTAAATCATTTATCTTCAACTCCATTATATTTTTCTTTTGTCAAAAATATTTGATACTATTCCAATACAGTGCTCATAATTTCAATAAGTTTGAATTGTATTCTTTTCTTTTTCACATAGACTATAAGCCACCATGTGTCACCACCGTGCATTTCCTTCCCACCCCAACCCCGATCCACCCACAGGTAAACCTCTTTGATATTTAGTCATTCCCATATTCATATGGAATTATAGATATTTTGAATGAATTATCATAGGTATAGAGGTTAAACGTTTTTATTGTCAATAATGATTTTTATAAGTCAATCGTAACGTCATCACTGCAACTCACAATGTTATTTGCCTATCCCACCCAGTTTTTTCTTGTCGCAGTCCCAACCATGGTGGGGCCAAGGTGGTGGTATTTGCCGTTCCTATTTAAAACTGAACATCAGCAATATTTTTAATTAAAACTCTAAAGTTCAGCTTCAACTGTTATAAGACTGATTTGGGTGTGGCCCTTCTAGTACTTGGCCCCTAGCTACTGGGGTGGAATGAGCCTGTTGCAAATGCACTTCCCCTGGATTAACTTTCATAACTCTCCTTGTGCAAATGACAAAGATGGCGGTGGAATTGCTGTTGGATTTCGACTTGTGCTTATCTTATATAATCTAGCAACATTTTCTAAATTTGAGGAATATATTAATATGCTGGGACTTCCTTAATGGTACTATACTCATACTATAATTTGATTCAGTATTTACAATTATTTCTGAATGATTAATTCATTGGCTAAAAAACATAGGTGAATAAAATATTTACCTTAAATTCTTGGGTGTTTCAGTGGAGTAAAACAGTTTTGTGAAGTGTCTCCAATCAGGAAATTGGTGTTTAAATGGTTTACAGTACTTTTAGTCATGTGACCTAGTATGGGCTAATTTCTTTGTGTATGCTATCAACCATGACTTTTTGAAAATAGAGGCTGAGAACTATTCAATGATAGTGAATTGTTATACATTACAAAGTCAGCACTCATTTTCATTGTCATAGCTGGATCCAATCCATACGCTTTCATTAAATATATTCAACTAAAAAAAAAGACCCCAATGTAAATAAGTCTTTGGACCAACTTACTTGGTATTAGGTAGATTTGTGTTTTTGACACCAAAAATCTACCAACTCCCTCAGATCTTATTCTCATTATTCCCTCACTCTCTCTTCATGCCTTTTCTACTGTCTTGTGTCCGATTGTCTTTCTTCTTTTCACTCTTTTCCTTCCTTCTTTTATTCTGCTTTCTTTTCTACCCATCTTTTTTCTTTCCATCTTCTCTCCTACTCTAAGCACATTATGAATCTATAGTCTTTTTAATCCATCTCCTCCTAATCATCTTCCTGCCATCTTTCCCCTCCATCTCCTTTTTCTATTCCTTATCCTCCATTATTTTTTCTGTTTCTTTTCTATTCCTATCAATATTTCATCTCCTTATTTTTCCATACTCCCTCCATTCTTAGAGCCTATAAATTGCACTCCTCTCAATTCTCAACTTAATCCTACAGCACCTCTACCACAACTCTCCTCTCCATCTTTTCATTTCTGTTTTATCTCATAGTACTTTCTAATTTCTGTTATCTATTATTGTTTGTCTTCTTCTTCCCACTAACCTAATTATCTCTCTTTTTTATAGGATAAAAATAAAAAATATGATTGACTCCATTGGACTGCTCTACAGACTGCAATTTAAGTATGTTTAGGTTCTATGTCTTTTGAAATTTGCAGTGAGGTACATATGTGAAGTGTCTCCAATCAGGAAATAAGTGTTTTTCAAGGGTTTTACTGTATTTTTAGTCATGCGATTTGATATAAGGTGTTTCTTTGTGTATGCTATCAACCAACCATGACTTTGTGAATGCAGAGACGAGCACTATTCAATAGTAAATTGTTATGTATTGAATACATAATATTAGTCAGCACTCCTTTCCATTGTCATATCTGATTATCAATCCCATTTTTTTTTGTATAGAGCTATCTCAATTCAACCATCAAGAAGACCCCAATGGAAATAATTCTTTGGACTAACTTGCTGGGTTAATCCAAGAAAATGAATCACCTTTTTGTCCCATTTTTTTCCCCTCTCTTTTTTTTCATACCTCTTCTACTATCTTGTGTTCCATTCTCCTCTCCTTTTTGATCTACGTTTTCTCCTCCTTTCCTTCTTTCCTCCCCTTCATTTCTATTGATCTATTTTTTTCCATCTCCTCATATTAAGCTAGTCAGTATTATTAAAAGACAATAATTTTTCCACATATTTTTAACCAAATAAAAACCACGTATTTCGGAGACACAGAAATTCACAGTAACAAAAATAAGACTTTTTTAAAATTACAAATAAGAAAATGATTAGTAAATAAAAGAAAAGACCTAACCATTATGAAATACTAAAGCACAATTCCATCCTGTAATTGGTGAGTTACTTGCTAGTCTCATTTGTAGAGCAAGAAAGAAACTTTCTTAATTGCCTCATTTTCAATTATAGAATATGATGAATTGATGAGTATCTGGGACTATAGAATTCATATGTGGCAAAGACAAGCCAAACCAGTCACTCGTCGCAAAAATCAATTTTGAGTTATTGATACAGTGTTAGAGAGTAAATTAATAGCTATAAAATGGTAAAAAAAATCATTCAAATCGGACATTTCCTGAGACAAACAAAATATAAGCTCTGATAATATTTCTCAAAAATACGGTAATATAGTATTTATTTAGCTACACATAGTGTATACAATATTTTACAAGTACTTTTTCACCATATCTATAGTACGATCAAAATTGTTAACTAAATGCACTGATGCCTCCTAAAAGAAAGCAAAAAACTTCAGACAGACCTGAGCCTTAGGGAAGGCCTAACCCAGCGGAATGTGAATCCGCTGCTGAAACGGGAACGTCACCTGACGATACGTCACAAGACCGCTAGCGCGAGATTCAAACAATGAATAAGCGGCTTGACTGCAAGCTCGACACAGTCTTACAACTGTCTCTTATACACATCTAGATGTGTATAAGAGACAGGTCCCAACCATGGTGGGGCCGAGGTGGTGGTATTTGCCGTTCTATCCTATTTAAAACTGAACATCAGCAATACTTTTAATTAAAACTAAAGTTCAGCTTCAACTGTTATAAGACTGATTTGGGTGTGGCCCTTCTAGTACTTGGCCCCTAGCTACTGGGGTGGATATGAGCCTGTTGCAAATGCACTTCCCTTGGATTCACTTTCATAACTCTCCTTGTGCAAATGACAAAGATGGCGGTGGAATTGCTGTTGGATTTCGACTTGTGCTTATCTTATATAATCTAGCAACATTTTCTAAATTTGAGGAATATATTAATATGCTGGGACTTCCTCAATGGTATTATACTCATACTATAATTTGATTCAGTATTTACAATTATTTCTGAATGCACCTATACACACACACATGACACAATCAACACACACCACTTAATTGATAGATCACTTGTTTTAAACCTTTCCTTTCTCTTTGTTGATTTCAGAACACTGACAATTTGGTCTGCTTGTCATTCCAGTGAGAGCTCAAGTAAGGTATGATGAATTATTTGACTTCTTTGTTGATTTGTTAATAAATTTGAGACTACCTTTGGGACCTGAAAACATAGGGTGGTCTCAGGGTTTGGTCTCCATTTACTGTAGAGGGTATGCTTATGCTAAACAAGTGCTCTTGAAGTAAAGGCCTGTGGTCTTGAATTTGAGGGCATAACTATACTTGAGTAGAGATGCAGTTTTCTATATTACATGGACATAAACTACTGTATGCTTGGAAACAGTAATTAGAACTGTACTATAAAGCAACCCACATACACAAATATTACAAATACTGTACGTACGTCTAGATTCAGGTGATTTATTGTCAAAGTATACATGATGAAATATACAATAAAATTGCAGGTTAACAATATGAATGAAGGCAAAAAAAAAAAGGCTGAAGGTTAAAAAGAGCCTGCTGAGCTACCCCAGCCCCCTCCCCTTAAAGACTCTCCCTGTCCCACAAGTTAAGAGTAGATTATTTGGCAAAATCACATTATAAAGATTAAAATTAACATTTTTAAAAACATGTTTAGGTCCGGGGTATTACTATTTTTACTTTAGTATATCATAATAGTATTAATCTGTGTGAAATTAAAGTACTTTGATATTAATCTGTAAAATTTAATGCACTCTAATATTAATCTGTGTAAAATTTAAAGCACACTGATATTATTCTGTGTAAAAGTTATTATTAATATTTCTGTCTGTCTTCATGGTTCTTTTTCAACCATAGTAAAGTTTTTGAATTCCTCCTCAGCATACTGTATCAAACAATGGCAGCAGAGTCCATGCATTTTTGCCAAACTAGACTACGCATGTCCGTGGAATAGAGACAAACAAAATATAAGCTCTGATAATATTTCTCAAAAATACGGTAATATAGTATTTATTTAGCTACACATAGTGTATACAATATTTTACAAGTACTTTTTCACCATATCTATAGTACGATCAAAATTGTTAACTAAATGCACTGATGCCTCCTAAAAGAAAGCAAAAAACTTCAGACAGACCTGAGCCTTAGGGAAGGCCTAACCCAGCGGAATGTGAATCCGCTGCTGAAACGGGAACGTCACCTGACGATACGTCACAAGACCGCTAGCGCGAGATTCAAACAATGAATAAGCGGCTTGACTGCAAGCTCGACACAGTCTTACAAAACCACTCGTCAATAATGACACGCCTTCAACGAGTTGAATCGAGATTAAACAAGCTGGAACAGGATAATAATGACCTAAAATCTTCAGTTGCTTTCGCTCAGGATGCTGCTACTGAAAACAAAAAAGAAATCAAAAAGGTTTGTGGCTTAGTAGACACACTAAGGGAAACAATAAACACAGATCAAACAACGCTGACTGAAATCAAGGAAAACATATTACGAATCGAAAAATACTCACGATCATTCAATAAATACATACACAAAAGAGACATAAATGCACATAACATGGAACGCTACAAAGAACAAATAACTCAACAAACTTGGGATACCGTACTGAATTGCCAAGATACAAATGAGGCCTGCTCCAATTTCAATAACGTAATTACCGCCTGTATTAACAGTTGCTTTCCGTTCAAAAAAGTTAAGAGCGAATAAAATACACTCACCCTGGATGACCGAGGGTATTGCCAGATCAATTCGCAAAGAAGACAAATTATATGCCAACTATCGAAAAAATTCAACTGAAAGCAATAAAAATAAGTATAAAAAGTATAGAAATAAACTCAATATCATTATCCGTAAACGAAAAAGGGCATTCCACTATGAAAAATTTAATAATTGTAAAAATACTTTAAAGAAAACTTGAAATGCAATAAATGAAGTACTAGGCAGAAATACTAATAAAACTTTAACCCCCATTATATCACATAACGCAAATACATATACGACTCCATTACAACAAGCTAATGCATTCATAAATATTTCACAGACATTGGGCAATCTCTTGCAGATAATATAACAGCACCCCATGATCCGAAAACCTACCTCACGGGAAACTACCAAAGGTCAATGTTTTTTAAACCAGTCATGCATGAAGACATATATAAGTGCGTTTCAAACCTTAAAAGCTCTACCTCATCGGGTTATGATGACATTTCCCCAAAGTTTATCAAACCACCGAAGAAAAACAAGCAGCAAGAAGGTCCAACCTCATCATCACGTTGTCACTTTTGTGGAGAAAGCGGCCATGTTCGCCATGTCTGCCATCATGCCCCCGTGAAATTTCTGTGTTTTAGACGCCCGAAAATAACATTTGAGGTGTTCTGGGCTATCGTTTTTTCTTTTTCTTTCTTTTTTTCTTTCTTTTTTCTTTTTTTAACTGTACTTAATTTTTATTTATAATGTATATTATTTTAAGTCAATTGTAGGTGTGGTACCAATATTTTTCATCAAAAGCTTAATAAAAATTTCTGTCCTCATACAAAAAATAAAACAATAATTGAATTTACTTTTTGAGCAAGAAGAAGCCTCCTTTGTCGCAATTTCAATTAGTATATTAATAAATTGTAAAGAGTATCTGGTGCACCTAATAGATGACTTGTTAAACTCTTTTCTTTCTATTTTGTTGATATCAGAACACAGATGAAGAGGAGGCGGAGTTTGTATTTACTGTGTTGCATTGTCTGCCGAGAGCCATCAGATATTTTCAAAGATTTTTTAATAAGGTATGATCAACTGTTTGATTTGTGTGTTAAGAACTAATCATAGGATTCAATCTTAAGTAATCATGAGATACAGTTTTTTGTAATACATGACCACAAACTACTGTGTCCTGGATTGATATCAGTAGAACTGTGCTACTAGTAAGCCACAGAAATGAATAACAATTATACTGTACATACATCTATACAGATTCAGATGGTTTATTAACAAATTATACCATGAAGAAATATTAAATGGAATTAGTTTGAATGCAGGTTAACATTTACAAATAAATATAAACAAAAGCTAAGCTTACTTAATCATATATAGTAATAACAATTATACTGCACATACATCTACAGTATACAGATTCAGATGATTTATTGACAAAGTATACCATGAAGAAATATAAAACAGAATTGGTGTTTAATGCAGGTTAACATTTACAAAGAAATGTAAACAAAAGCTAAACTTACTGAATCGTATACAGTAATAACAGTTATAAGTCAATCATTTCGTCACCACTGCAACTCCCAATGTTATTTGTCTATTCCCCACCAATAATCCAATAATTTTTCAATTAGTGGATGCTTGGCTTGATATTTTTAAAGTTTGTGTGCAAAAAAAAAAAAAATTGAAAAATTGAAAATTGAATTGTAATTGAAATTTACTTTTGTAAATCAAGCTTAATTAGAACCCATAGAAAGTTACTTCAAATTCAATATTAAGTATGAACAATTAAGGAATTCATTGAATCAATAGACCCTCATCAACTCAACAAACTGAACGTTTAATAGGAATATTCTAGACCTATTTTAAAGACTCAAGGAACAAATTTAGAATTAGGCCTACAGCCAGGCTAGAGGCCGCCCAGGCCTCCTTCTACTACTAGGCCCGGCCTAGCCTACTTATGAAATCATCACACGATTTTAGCTGTCTGCATGCACCGACCAAAGAGGTCAGAGACTGTATTCTCTCTCAAATGCTGAAATGTTTATTTCTTTGACAAAAGCATATCAAAATAGCATTACAAACAAGTTCTTTCTAACACAACACAAATTACAATAATTATTCATCGTATCCATACTGTACTGCTGATGTGTAGTTAATTAAACACGACTGCAGGAGCAAAAATCAGCATACGCTAAATATAAATACGCACACTTATACTGATCACATCACTATAGCAACCGATGACTGCTGCTACAACAGTTGGTTATCAAAAACTGAAATTAAAAGACGGCAATTGACTTGATATGATGAATGCAAACTAAAGCTAAGCTTAACTACTAAATCATATACAGTGTAGTTTATAAGAAAAATTAAATATAAGAATAATCAATCTGACTCATGGCATCTTATTCATTTAATGGATATGAATGTCTGTCTGTTGTATTTATAATATACACTCTGTTGTGAGCTTGTTAGGTTTTTTTATACAGAAAAACAAAAAGGAAATATACAGGAACTAAAAAAAATATATAAACTTGCAAATATCAAAATTTATGAAAATCAAGGAGATACAAGTTGATAGGCTGTACAAAAAAGCCCCAATAGATTGAAAAGTAAAATGTTTAACATCAATATGCAAGAAAATAACATGTATATGCATTATATGATTAAAAAATTCAAATTTGACAAGCACTACAAAAAATAAAATTTTAAGATCAGTAGTGTGTGATTCAATTTGATAAGAACTAAACTGAAAAAAATTGAGAGTGGCATATTACAGTATTATTGTTTTCAGTATTATATATTTTAACAGTTTAATAACTTCAACTCTATAGATATCATTGTGTTGAATAACTAATATTTTAACAGTTTGAAAATAAACAAAAAAAAACATAACTCTATATATTAAAAGTTATGAAAACATACAGGTGAAGCAAGTGGACTGTCAATATTTAATAATTGAATATTTTTACTGTTTTATTACCACAATTTGTTACTGCAAGTCTCCTTGGATGATATGAAATGATAGATAATCCATTTTGATAGTTGATTCCATCTTGTGGTTTATCAATTCTTTTAATAAAATTTCCATCAAAAGTTACTGAATAGCTGTAGTTTGCTTTGACTTGATATAATGATGTTGTCATCCTCATCAACTACTACTGCTCTTGGATAATTTACTTTACCATCCTCATCACCTGCTTCAACAAGGACTTTTATAAACCTTCCCTCATTATTAAATAATTGTAATCTACTTGTTCCAGTACCTAAACATTCACTCTCCAATACAAGAAGGCGTCCTTGGTTTGTAAGAGTAACATCAGTGACATAACTCATTTGACCTTCTTTTGTACCTCTTGACCTTATTGTTTTGATGGTCTGCCCATTATTCATGTCAAGCATGTACACACAGTTATTGTACCCACCTGCTACATACAAAACATTTGATGTCTCATCCACATGAATACACCATGGTGTATTCAATACTCCCTTACCAATTGTTTTAATCACCTGACCATTCATATTGCATATTCTAATGCCTAAAATATTCAAATCACTGAATGCTATGTTACCATTCCTCATTTTGTACATTCTGTGAACTCTCACACCTTGTGGTAGTGTAACCTTACCAATATATATCAGTATATTCTCCTGATTGCTTGTACTTCAGCATTTCATTTGTCAAACATGAAACCAGTAAGGAGTCATCTTCACACTTAACTACATCGCTAATAAATGTTGCGTTTGTATGAATAGTATTTAATAATCTTCCCTCTTCTACTTTGATTATCATTGGTGATTGCTTAATTGGTTCATCATCAGCACTCACATCCATCTAGTTTACAAACTCCTGGAATTGTGCATTTTCTTGTCACAAAGTAATCTCCATTAACATGTTCTTGAATTTGGGAGATATTTGTTTCACCTGTGGGTTGTGTCCATGTTGCCTTTAGTTGATTTGCATAAATTTCAAGATCTTCTGTTTTTATTATTTTGACAACAATTGTCTGACCTTGGAACACAGATTCTTCTTCTTTTAATGTTAAACAGTCTGCTGCCCTCATTTGTGTTACTGTCCCAATATCACCTTGTTTCACTGATGTTATGTGCTGTTCATTTATGAAAAAGTGAATCTCTCCATTATCAATTGGCTCTGTTTTTGGCAATTCATTTATTCTGTCCTTCAGTGCTGTAAGTACTGTTTCACTTGACTGCAATGCTGTGCCTTCGTCACCCTCCAATAATTGATTAAGTAAACTCAATTTTGTATTTGTATCAGATATTGTTGTTTTCAAATCATCTATTTGTACATCATTTACTTTGTTTTTTCTTTTGTAGATTGTCTCTACTTCATTTTTCATTTTGTCTCCATTCTCCTTAACTTTTTGATACATTTCTTGCATTTGATTTTCTATATCTCTGTAACACTTGTCTTTATTTTGTTTTAATTTTGTAGCATTCTGCTTAACAGCTTTGATACCATCTTGTACTTTCTGTATGAAGTTTTGGGCAGATTTTTCCAAGGCAGCTGATGTTTCTTTAAATGCTTGGAATGCATCTGTACGTCTAATTGGTTTGTGTTTCCTATGTTCTGAGGACAGAGCAGAATATTTACGTGCAAAAAATTACTTGTTCCTCAAACACATCATTTGATCTTATATATATATATACATATATTTATATATATA